TCAAAAACACCAAAAGAACACTGCAGTCTGCATGACAAAAAGGATGCAGAGCAGAGCAGATTAAGGGCAGTGCAATGTCAAATCGGAGAGGAGGGGTGGTTCAGTCTTCAGCCAGGAAAAAAAATAACAAGAGAAATGATCTCTCTGGGCTTGCGTGAGATGTGTGCAACTTCTATGTATCGAAGAAAACAGAAGTTGCTTGAGAACCCCAATAAATCCTTTCTTACCAGTCCAAGCTGCACGTGAGAAAGGTGGACTGAATTCTGCTTTGCTACAATCACATAAACCTACTGGGATTTTCCTGACTTCAGGGAGCGTACCGGTAAATACTCCTTCTATTTATTATAATTGCACATCTAATTAAACAGTTTACAAAGGTGGGCGTGAAGGAACATTAGACTGCTAACAGCGGACCCACAGCATGAGTGTACGTTGCTTTCTGTCCAGTACTGCGGGATTTCACAAACAGTTCAGGAAGAAAAACCACAGTAACAGATGTCTGCTCAAGGCACATAACCCCTTCAGCTCCAAGGGGTACATTTTTGGCTAATAGAACCGCTTCGTCCCAGAAGCTAACAAACAGCCACTTTGTACATCTCATGCTTCGCTCTACTAAGAGGTATAATTAAATGCAACACATCGTTTTCTGTACTTTGATTTATCCCTTTTGCTACCACCTAGCAATGTTACACAGTGTTAAATCTTCTCTTCTAGCTTATGCTCTCCTCCCATCTGCCATTTTATGTCTTCTTTTTCCCCTTCTTGTTTCTCTCCGCACATTTCATGTATTCATTTTTATGTTATTTAGTTTTTATTCAGCTCCTCTCTGCATTAGCCCCAGCATTAGGCAGCCTGGAGATCATCCTGCCTGAGAAGCACACTATGCACCGCAGGCAGCGCAGCTACAACACTGCTACAGAAGAAAACAAGCAGCAGAGAGCTTCAAGCAGCAGCCCCCGGTACCCATCCTAAATTAACAATGGATCTAGAAAATTACCATTCTCCTGCTGGTGCAGAGAAGCCACTCATCAATGCAGGAAAACGAGGGCAGAACAAGCCTGGGTGCACAAAGCAATTGGGGGAACGGGTATCCGACACTGCTGGGCTTAACGTGTACCAGTGACAACGCAAAAGGCATTTGGTCTTCTCAGCAGGTCCACACGAAACGTTCTGACCGGGCTGAAAGAGAGGTGCTGAGCACTGATAAACTCAGTCTGCTGGCAGCCGTGGCGAGGCATCCCTTCTCTGCCCACGCGCTATGGGGAAGTCGTGCTCTTCCACCTAACCCAGCCAGGGCTCAGGGTGGGTTTTGTCAGCCTTGAAGCTTCAGGAGTTGAAACGAAAGCCAAATTTAGTAAGAGGTTTCCATGCTCAGGATGGCTAAAGAGAAGGCAGCTGACAAGAAGGTTTCTTTGCAATACCAATGTTTGGTTTCACGCCTACGTTCTTCTCCTTCCTGCTATTATAAAATGTTCTTCCGTTATTGGATTGAGCGACTGTGATACCACAGTGACTCATGTTTCCATGTCTTTATCTAGCTGCATTACACTTAAAGGAAAATCCCACTCCAGCTGCTATGCAACTGTGCAAAATAAATTTTACAGACCCCAACAGCACCAGAACAAGGTCCAAACTGCAACAATACGGTGAAAATTTTAGTAGGGCCTGCGGTCAGCTCTGCAGCTGGCAGTCGGGGAACTGGCGATACAACTCCTAGATTCAAAGCGCACGAGCCTCCGTGCATGAAAAGCTGCTTAGTCCCAAACATGTTTATGCAGCACTTCTAGATGCCTGGGCTCAGACAGCCAGCAACGCTGCTGAAAAAAAAAACCCACATAAATACATGCATGCATAAAAAAACCCTACAAGAACAGCATTGCCACATCCCACAGCGTTTGTTTCCTCCTAGTGGACCAGCGTGTGATTGCAATGCTGGCCTCCACCATTGCAAACTATCCATTAGATTAACGGTGCTTGAATTAAACGTGCAGAAGACACCTGCAACTTACAGCCGTCTCCTCTTCAAGAATGCTGATGCTAGAAGCACTTGACTGTTTGACATTCAGACTATTTTGATGAGTCACACTGAATTACTGCAGAATCAGTACTTTAATTTGTTGACCTTCCTAACGAACACTCACATGTTGAAAAATAACAATGTAGAACATTGTAGGTACAGTTTTACTCTGGGACAAGAATCCTTCACTGCTTTAACATGAAGGATTTGTACCACATTTTCATGTAGGAGTTTCAATGTGATGTGAAAATTGCACATTTGCAGAAGAATTTCTTTATGGTTAAGAGCTTGGCAAAGATCTAACCAATTTGCTTTATATTCTAGAGATTATTTGAGGAAACCACTAAAGAACAGAGATTTCCGAAAACACTGGAGCAGGCAAGCACTTGGACTATCAGAACATGATAACCTATTATGGCACTAAGGAACAAAAAATGAAGTGTCCTCTGTGATGCTCATCAAGACTGCTGGCAAGTTTGTCTACTCAAATTCAAGTATCTCTCTTCATTGTCACGTTCAAACAGCTCACGTGTGAAAAACAGGAACTTTTAGGCACAGTACAGAAAATTGTATGTGCATCAAGATAAAATTTAACGACTTTGTGTCAACATTTATAAATGTGACACTTCTCCAAACCAAACTCACCAGGATGTAAAGCAGCAAAGACTCAGCTCCTGCATCTTTGCTTCCCAGGAAAAAAAAAAAACTTCTGATGGAGCCCACTTGCCTGATGCCCAAACTCCAGGAAATGTTTTATGGGCAAACTCCAGGAAATAGTTTTATGACTCGGGAGACTCATCTGAAACTTCAGGACTCATCTCTCAGAACACTAATGCAGTTTTCAGTGAACTTTTATTCCTTCAGGAGCAGCCAGGCTTTGCTGCAAACAGGAAAAGAAGTCTCAGAAGGAAAACCCAAACCAGACACAGGTTTATGATTACAGCAGCATTGGCATACAGCACTACTCACAGTGTAACTCTCCCTTGAAAGAAACAGCACACCCATGAGATAACACAGACGTTACAACCTCGAGATTAAGATGAGCTCAAATGTGTATTTGACAAAAATACAGAAATACCCAGTGTCATGTTCTAATAATACAGAAATAACTTTTGTTTTGGATAAAAGCAACGTATTTGATAACTTAAGGTTAAAACAACTTTCCATATGCATCAGTACTCAGCCAAGTAAAAAATATCAAGTACCTTTACAGTCAAGACAAGAAGAAAAGGTAGAAACTACGTGTATTTGACTGCAACTTCTTACAAGCAGAGGTCTCTCACAGACAGTAGTTGCCCCCACTATAGCACTCCACCTGTAAACCCTCTTTCTCTACTGCCACCTTCTCTACTTTCTGTGCCTTCTGCCAAAGTTCAGGCCAGTCAGCTAAGACCTCAGCCTCCAAAAGCCTCACATCGAGAATATGCAAAACATTTTCGTCAATCTTAACCAATCATACCAACCACACCCTCACAAAAAATTAAATAAAACCTCTACTGCCCCAATCATCTGGAAGAATCCTTAAGGGTCCAGGTTAAAATGTCAGCTTCTTGAAAAGGCCTTTCCTCTAGCTCTGAGGTAGTCTCTCTGTCCCAGGATTGAGAGCTCAATCTTACACAGGCTGCAATTATGCTAATGGACCAGGTTTAATAGAAAACGGCCCTCTGCCACCCCACTCTTTGGGTTTTGCTTTGTAGTCATTTGCATGTTAATAAATCAAAGCTATTTAATTTACGGAAACCAACATGATAGCCATCAATGCAACCATGTCAGATGAGGCAGACAAGTGCCATACAAAAGGAGGATAAGAGCTCTCCTTCTCTCATCCTTCCGTTCCCCCTTGTTTCTAGCTGTCGTCCAAGCCTTTCCTTGTCCATGTCAGTTCTTTTGGTAAAATGAGCTGAACCACATTAACAGTTAGCCCAGGGAGGCAGGAGTTATTTAAGACACATAGAGCCTAAGGCCACTTAGTAAGAAAGGTGTGCCTCCTCCCTCCGCAGCGGGAAGAGTCCTCCGGAACCAGCCAGAGCAATGATGAAGCAGACAGTAATGATGGGTGGGGTTTTAGGTTTTATTTTAGCTTCTGGAATAAATCAGCATAGCCTCCCCCACAGAAGTGTCCTGTGCTCTGGGGAAGTTAGCTTCACTGCTAGAGACTGCAAGTGAAACTAAGGCTTTCTAGCAGCAAAGACAACCCTGCCACCCCCTGCCCGTCGCTCTGAACACTTTGGATCATTCCACTTGTCTATTAAGAAAGCTCTTACAGAGACCAACTTCCTAATCCTACTCTAAATACAGGTCTGCAGTTCCGGTAGTGTGTTCTTGATACCATATGGTAGTAGGGTCAAGTTTCAACACGGCTGTAAAATCAAAGTTAACGTTGCCCTTTAGCCCCATCTTGCTATAAGCCTTTTATGTTGTCTGTTCATAGTTTGCCATTTTGTTTTTTTTTACAGAAGCCACACAGAACAGTAGTGTAATAGGCCAAACATGACACCTGCAGAAAATGCAGCATAATTAGAGGTTAAGCTGCATTTTGGCACTGTGATTTCTTTCCTGCCACTGCCTTTTGCATAGAAATCTATCCAGACTTGTGACTTTAGAACCTCTCCAGAATTTTAAGATCTACATTTTGAACACACTTTCTACTGAATAGCCTCAGAGTAGTACACATGTATTTGAAAATAATTTAATACCTATTTTCTGATGAAGTACATTCTGTGTGTCATTTTAGTTTCATACTCCATGAGATGGTACACACACTTTACAGGACAAAAAATTTAAACCATGACTATTTAGTAAATTATGCATTGTAGTGATTAAAACAAGACAAACACCAGAGAAAATACACATGCTGAAGCCTGATGTATATACTACACTGGAAAGTCTTCAGTGACATGACAAAGAATTTGTGGGTTTTCCCCCAATTACAAGTGAGCAGAGGATTTGTCAGACATTCATTTTGTAGCTTCTACTGTCCACTCTATGCCTCCTTCCTCTTGATGATCAGAGGCCCAACGTTGTCACCAGTTTCCTCGTTGTGCTTTGTGTGAGAGCCATCACACAGCGGGAACTGAAAAGAGAAAGAATAAACACATCTGAAGTACATCCAGAGTCAGAATTAAGAACCTAGGTTGAAAGTTCATTAGAACGTCTTATTAAATCCACTGTGACTGCAGAACATAACTTTTGTGCTGGCATCTCAGGTGTCCCTGAATTTTGGCTGAACGCTAGTTTTGTCCATGTGAGCGCAGAGTGGACGAGAGTTAAGAAAAGCGAGTGTTAAGAAAAAAGCAGCAACTCAGCTCTACACTATTTGTGTGGTTGTTTAGTCTGGAGAACAGGAGGCTGAGGGGAGACCTTATTGCTCTCTACAACTACCTGAAAGGAGGTTGTAGAGGGGCGGGGGTCAGTCTCTTCTCCCAAGTAACAAGCGAAAGGATGAGAGGAAATGGCCTCAAGCTGCGCCAGGGGAAGTTTAGGTTGGATATTAGGAAAAGCTTCTTCACAGAAGGGGTAGTCAGGCACTGGACCAGGCTGCCCAGGGAAGTGGTTGAGTCCCCATCCCTGGAGGTATTTAAAAGACAGGTAGACGTGGTGCTTGAGGACATGGTTTAGTGGTGGACTTGGCAGTGCTAGGTTAACGGTTGGACTCGATGATCTTAAGGGTCTTTTCCAAACTTAACAATTCTATGATTCTATTTGGTGTTCCTGCCTCAGGCCAGCATGAGGAAAATACAGCACGTGCTGACCTTCAGTGATAACCTACCTGGAGTATCTTGCTCTCAACCGTGCCCCACCCTCTGTTTTCCCAGGCAACAGACAGAGTTGAATGCAGTTACAGAAGATCAGTGGAGTGAGGAAGAGAAACAGGAGCAGATCCTTCACTGAATTTTTTTCCTGGTTTTCCATGGTGAGAAAAAAGGACAGCGTCCCTAGCTCATCTCTTATTTAAGAGACACCTACATTTTTGTCCTGACTCCAGACAGCTAGAGTGGCAAGCTGCCTTTGCTTCATCCTGACACAGCTAGCTTATCTCATCGACACAAAGGTCCGTTTGCGCAAGCTGGCTTTGACATTAGGATTTTGACCTGCTAATGGAAATAAACTGCACTTCCAACTGACACGGCTATTCATCAGGGGGTTTTAAGGGTAGCACTGAGGAAGTAATTTGAACAAATGTTTGTTCTATTAAAAAAAAACTCCTAGAACAGCCTGGTCAGAGCAAGACCCATGGGGACTCCTTTAGCCAGCTGTAACTGCCCAAGTCCCAGACCAGTCACAACCACTCTGCTCCTGGGCAGCTCTTCTCACGTGCAAGAGCCAAAGGACATTCTGTGAAGCAACAAGAGTGAGGTTAGATCCCATCACTTCTCAAGGATGTGTTTTCAGCGCTATGCCTCCTCTGCAGAGGAAACTCCGGAAACGATCACAGAAATCACACACCAGGATTTTGCGTTCAGTTACTATTTTGTTTACTTAGAAGTAATGGGAATCAAAGTTGGGCATTACTCAGCTGTTGCCTTTGCAACAGCAATATTCCCTCGCAGTACAGTCAGAATCAGTCTTTGACACTCCACTGATCCCAATGTTCATGCCTCAGTCATAGCCCTTGAAAAAAATTAACACCCGATCACTCACGCTTAGTTAGAATAAAAGATTTCGAAGTACTGCACAAAAACAATATAATGAAGACAATACACTTGCAAATACAATTCCCAGAGCTCTAAAAATAAAGCCACATGCCCTGTAGGGTAGTGGTTGGGGGGGAGGGGGAGATTTTTTGTTTTTAACAGTTACAAAATGTCAAAACCCACGCTATAAATGGCAGGTGACATTTCCCAATAAAGAAACACTGAATTCAGAGGATACTCATGTAAGCTGATTCATGCAGGAACTCTATCATCACATCAGTCATTTGTGACTCAATGAGAAGGTACTGACAGATACTTGGGAAAAATCTGAGCAAACAAGAACATATGTTCATGGGACACTGACCCGCTTCCAACCCAGATGTTCCTGGGCCAGTTGTTTTTCCATGCAACACCTAAGTCCACTGGTGTTCACTGAAGCGTCGACCCAGCTTCCATCAGACATTAACATCTCACATGCCCCAAGGAGGCAAGCCCAAGGTCCAGCAACATCATCACTTCAAGTTTGCAAGTGACAAAAATGGTGGGATTCATAGGCTTCAGAGAGCATCGAGACATCTTTAACAGCTACCAACTCTGACTGCTCTGAATTCATCCTCTGGGTCAGCTGGTCTCAGAAACACTGGCTCCCAGAGGCTGGCACACTAGACTTGAGCTTCTCAGGGAAAAAAAAACAAACACCAAAAGCCACCACACACCACCACTTTTCCAGAGCACCCACTTGGTCACCTTGAAGACCAGATACTGAATAGATGGATCCTGGGCCTGATAAAACATGTTCATCCTTGATTAAGATAAAGCAGGCTAGCAACAGCCGCCAAAGCTCAAACCCTGAGGGAACTGTGCAGTGATCTGGACAGCTCAGCTTATTTCCCTTGACAAGAACAGGTTTAGATTCCCTACCACTATTTCTTCTGATGTTCTGCAGCAGCGTTCCTTGACCTGCAGCCTGGGGACTACTACTTCTCTGGAAGACACAGAGGTTGCAGGTCATTGCAAAAGAAAGCAAATTAATCTTTTTCTCTCCAGCTTACACACTTAAACAGGCAGAAACAAATGTTCTAACTTTAGACTAATTACAGTTTGGTTTTAAGACAAAACTCTTGCCTCTATACTGGTAAATTTGAACACTGGGTTTTTCCACAAAACTTGACAAGCAGGGCTCTGAAGTGCCTGCAGAGCGCAACACTGAATAGGAAAGGGCCATTTAAAGAACTACCTACCACCTACTTTAACAGATAATGACATCCCAAGACAGACTTATTTGAAGGTACCAGATGTGGTTGGGGTTTTGTTTGTTTGTTTGTTTTAAAAACACATGTACTCCACAAAGACTTTGGCCAGCACAAATAAACAAAAAAAGCCTTTGAAGTATACTATTTCAGGAAAAAAAAAAAAAAAAACTGAAAATAATCCTGCTCCTTTTTTAAGAGTTACTCCAAAACACCTTGGTATAGTCCAACTGTTTTGTTATTCCCCATACAGGAGGAACACCATGCGAAGCCAGCTGTAGTGCATGCGCATCGTCAACACACACAGAAACATCCTATGGTTCATAACGCTACTGGTTCTGCTAACAGCCTCATGCCTCAAATGAGGCTAAATCTGATGAGAAGCACTCACGCAATCATACAAGAGGACATTTCTTCTAACCTGTATATGGAATAGAGATCCCCATACGCCACTTATTTAACAAAAGCACAGCGGGTACTTACTGCTTTTGGAGTAATTGTAATTCCCTGCATTGGAAGCACACACATTCTACCATTTTGCCATCAGAAAACATTATCTTACAAATTTTAACAGGATCATAGTTTGAGAACTGTAAGAAAGAGATAACGCTAGGTAACTACTTCCAAAGATGACAAGCATGTGAGAATGATGAAGAATGTCTCTGTATTTTATTACTGCTTGGCAATAACTGAACATGAGAAAAAGCACGCACACCACCTTAAAGACCATGCTACCCACCATACAAGGTCAACCAATCAGGGCAAGAGGAAGGCAGCAAAAATGGAAACTGCAGTCTTTGAAGCATAACATGCTGATTAAAATACTCATTATTAAGCATCAGTAAAAGAAAACAAATGCCTTCAAAATTTTCCACTGACCTCCTTAATGCCCTTACAAGACCTTTCAGATCAGAGTTCTAATAACAGACTCGTTATAAGGTAGCCCCATCTACTTCCTTTTAGTGTGTGATTACAGAGCCCTAACTCAGTAGGACAGTACGTTCCTAAACTGACAACACCCCTTCAATATATGCCAAAACGTACTTCTTAAGATTTTTATTTCACACTGTGCTGGTTTTGGCTGGGGTAGAGTAAATTTTCTTCATAGTAGCTAGTATGGGGCTATGTTTTGGATTTGTGCTGAAAACAGTGTTGATAACACAGGGATGTTTTCATCACTGCTGAGCAGTGCTTACACAGAGTCAAGGCCTTTTCTGCTTCTCACCCCACCCCACCAGTGAGGAGGCTGGGGGTGCACAAGAAGTTGGGAGGGGACACAGCTGAGACAGCTGACCCCAACTGACCAAAGGGCTATTCCCCCACATGTGGCCTCATGCTCAGCATATAAAGCTGGGGGAAGAAGGAGGAAGAGGGGGACGTTCGGAGTGATAGCATTTGTCTTCCCAAGTAACCGTTAGGTATGATGGAGCCCTGCTCTCCTGGAGATGACTGAACACCTGCCTGCCAATGGGAAGCAGGGAATGAATTGCTTGCATGCGTGGCTTTTGCTTTACCTACTAAACTGTCTTTATCTCAACCCACAAGTTTTCTCACTTTTACTCTTCCAATTCTCTCCCCCATCTCACCGGGGGGGAGTGAGTGAGCGGCTGTGTGGGGCTTAGTCGCCTGGTGGGGTTAAACCACAACACACACACAAAAGATACTATCAAATAATAGCTAGAATATTGGCAGGAGCTGCAATGCAACGACTAAAACCAGGCACTATCTTCCACTTCTGTTTAGAAAACAGAGCAGGAAGCAGAAAATACAAACACCAAGGTTCAAGTTAGGATTTCTTTTTTTTCATTGCAGAAGCACTGAAGGAGGTGCCTACACTATTGCAACCCGAGGTAAATCCAAATTCAAATATTAAAATGAAGTGCAGATACTTAGAGCAGCCTTTCTCCTCCTCCTTTTTCTTTTCTGAAGCTGTAGCCCTTGCAGCACCTTCCAACGCTGGGTTCTGGCTGTAAGTTGAGACTTACCACAAAGATTTAGTGGCAATGGTGCTATACACATACATGATACCTGCATGCTGTACAGCCACCACTGCATGTAAACGTACGCTATTCCCTGTTGTATAATCATACAATATGTAACTTAGTCCACAGAGCACACTGCAGCAATGGCAGGGAGGAAGGGGGGGGCGGAATTTTGTTTTTCAGTTCAGCCTCCAGACAGAGCAAAGAAGACAAGCCCATCTCCACAGGACTATTTCAGAATCAAGTCACGATGCTGTTTAATCCTCAGTAGTGTTTTACTGTTAAACCAAATACAGCTACAAATGTGTAACTTCCCAAGTTATTTTCACCCACAAGGTAATTAAGTCAGATCTGACAACAGCAAGAACCAAAAGTTACAGTACCTGGAAAATGGCAGTGTGACCCGATTAGACCTGTGTCTAAGGCTTGAGAAGTCTAGTATTCAGTTCACTGATGGAGAGAGAGACAGATTTCAGGGCTGCTGGCCTCAGTTATCTGGCTTTGAAGATTTGTACTATATTTCAGTCTCCACACATTAGCACCTTGACTTCTAAAAAAGCTTTTAAACGCGTGCCAGTGGTAAATGGAAAGGACTTCTCATGCAATCTGTTTTCTCTCACTACAGATCCCAGAACTACCACTACAGATAAATTATACAAATCTCAGTTACATCAGATGTCATGCATCTCTACCTCAGATTTACATCTGATCTTCGTGTTATTGAAAGGCTAGGTATCACGCTTACCACTAATTTTAGGCAATTGATGCAACCCAACTTCATATGCAAGTAAGTTGAACCAGTGTCTAGGTCAGACTCCTAATTGCTCAACCATAAAAGCTTGAAGTATGGCTGGCTTTACTGTAGGATTACCCATAAAACTATTTTGAGCTGCCAAGGCACAATGCATTAAGTCCATCTATCTAGATTCTTCAAAAGCTTTTAACCACAATGACTTCTTTTTAGATTACTTCAATCACCACTGGAAACAATTCACCACTGTAATCATTCACACGAGAAAAGGTAGCTATCCACAGTACATAGCAGTACTACAACAATAAATTCAGGACAGAACAGCAGTACCACCGTAACACCATCTGCGCAAGACAGGCTCTTCCAAAGCAATTCTGCACTCACCCTGTCTACAAGATTTAATGATGGGCTCAGACATTGCAAGTGACAATTTGACACCAGCTCTGGTATACCAAGAGACTTCTTAATGGATTTGTGTTATTAACACCATGAACTAGTAGCACTTTCTGACTGACAGAGAAAGCTTCCAACTTCCTTCAGTAAACAGTGTTTAAGGTCCTCTCAGACTGCAGTTCCTGAGCTCCTACTGCCAACAGGCCGGTAGTTTTGTATAAGCCTCAGTATTAGCAAAGGCAGCACACAAAACGGTATCTGTCATTCATGACTGTGACTGCTCCACACAGCCGCTCTCCTTTCAAGGGGTCTGCTTCTTCAGAGCTACAGAAATATTTTGTTCACTATTAGCACTTATCTGCAGGCTTTACTCTGAGTGACAGCATAAATCTACATAGTTTTATGGATTAAAATACTACTACATCTCACTGCAGAATAGGTTAGAAGAAAAAAAGAAGAAAAGAACTTAGCTTCCTCTAAATAAAGCAGTTTGAAAATAGTTCTATTGAAAGATGCACACACATGAATGAAACTGGAGCATTTATTCTTCTCTTACCTTCTTAGATCTCCAACAACGACAGTACACAGCCTTGTCTCCCAGATCTTCCATATCAAATGCATGGACTACCTTGGGGTTATCCTTCTGGATATGGGGATTCACCATTGCTTTGCTGCATTTGTCTTTAGAGAGAAATTTTTTGTAAGCTAGATACCCAACAGCAGCTGCTCCAGCAGCTAAGGAGACTGCAGCAATCCATTCAGCTAGAATAAGAGAAAAGGGGAGAGAAAAAAAAAAAAAAAAAAAAAAAAAAGAGACACTGTCACTTTTTGACCACAACATTCTATTAAAAACTACTCAGTAGTAAATGTCTTCATGCTTGTGGCAACACTTCTGCTTTCCAACAGACCTTTTTGTCCTGTAGTAGTAACACAGTACTTTAGAAGAATATATTCTTTTGACGCTCACCTAGTTAATCTACTCCTTTCTCCTGATCAGAGTTCTCCTTCACCCCCATCCCTTCTACACAAGAGCAAGGATTAACCTGGCAGGGTTTGGTGTTTTATTTGTTTGTTTGTTTTTTTAACCTTTTATTTGGGAACCTGTGATACCAACATTGCTAGTATAGGGTTTCCAAGTTCAGCACATTAAACCAGCTATAAGTACACCCTGTAGCAGTAAAAAACCCTGTTGTTTCAGTTGCAGGAAAGTCACTAAAGAAGAATGCTCAGGATCAACAACCCAAGCAGGATCCCCCCAAGGTATGGGTACTGAGTAGCTTTTAATATAATGCATCTTGCAAATAAAATGTTAACAGGTGTTTGGCAATGGGGAAATTATTTAATATACTACCACTTCAGAAGAGTAACAAAAGCCATCTTAGATTATATCCCTACTGTGGTGTACAGGAAAGAATATGGATCCAAAAAGATTGTATTTAAGAATAATGGCACGAGTTTATTTTAACTGGAATAGGTTCTGACTCTCTGAAAGACAACTTCCATTAAAAAATCCTCTTCCTACCACCTCCTATCTTCACTTTCCCCCCCTTCTAGATATCTCTAAAATCTTTGCCTTGCTCACTTGGTATAATTTCCTTTTCTGCAAGGGGTTTTCCTACTTTTTTGTGGCTCTATTGTTTCTTCTCTGCCTCATGAAAATAAGCTGGACTTTGGCCCAAAGGTTCTGTTTGCAGCAACTGCCCTGGCCGTTTCTCTCAGAGCTGCAGGCAGTTACTCCTTTTTTGCTTTTTATCCACCACTTCTACTCACACATGTACTCCTAACATATAGAGTTTGGCTGCCTCTACAGAAAAATCAAACAGGAATTTAAATTTTAGCACATTTACACAACTCAAGAAAACTAAAACAGTCTCCAGTTGGGAATTTCTATCTTGCCCTTCAATGTTTGTATTGGATTTGAAAGATGCCAAGCCACATGGCATCTTTGGGGCAAGAGATGTTACTACATTAAGTCCAAAGGATAAGAAGAAACAAAATGCCTTTGTTAGCTCTTGCTACTTTCCACGGCTAATTGACTTGCTGTATTGCCACTGTGAACTTGCACTAAAAGGATCAAGAAAGTTTTCTGGCCTGTCACACAGCCTTTTCTAAAATCCCTACCTGGAGGCCTTGCCTCAGCTAAAATATTGTGTTAGCTCATATGCACCATTCCGATCCACAAAGGTCTGGATGTAGTAATACAATTAGACAAATATTTGTATGACGTCTGCAGCCCTGTAAGATCAGGGAAGGCAGGCACTCCTTTAGAGTCTTACTAAAGGAGTAAAAGATGCAGAAATTCTTCAGAGCTCATTTTCTTAGTAAATGAAGCAGAAGAGACCAACATACACTGAGATCTCCCCTGCAAGTGAGTGACACTCCCCCCCCCCATAACAACAGGGTGATATTAAGATACAGAAAAGCATCAAAGAATCAGAAAAACATCAAAGAATTTAGGGCATGTTTCCCTGCTCCCAAACTCTCTTAAGCAATAAAAGCCCCAGAGAGCACACTGTGAATTCAGTGGTTTATATCCATCCAGTGAGTTCTCACCTCTTTATCTCCCCGTTACAAACTAGCCAGAGTAATGCATTAATTTTAATAGGGTAAAGAAGTGAGGAGGTGAAATTTAAGAAGGGATTCTATGAAAATCTGCTTTAATTTAGCAAAACAGCCCAAACTAATCCAAAGAACAGCCACGGCTTAAATCAGAGGCAGCAGGTTCTTCCAAGGAAAGCCACCGCAGACAGTCTGCAGCACCCTTTCCCCTTCTCGCTTGAGCATGCTTCCCCAAGAAGAGCAAGGGAGGAGGTACCCAGCCAGTTCAGGGAGAAGCTGGGTCTGACAAGTTTAAAGTGATTTCTGGCAGCCACAACAGCGCCAGGCAAAACAGAGTGATCCGCCCATACTGGCGATTTCAGAAAAGCAGCAATTGCAAGGGTTGCCCAAGCCGCTAGCTGATGCATTACCAATAGAACAAATCTTAACCCATGTTTTTAAATCAAACCATCAGAGGAAAAGATTCTGATGATAAAAATACTTCTACGACTCACAGCACGAGTAGGGAAGCCTGTACTAAAATTCAGCAGCCTTGCAGCACATTCAGACGAGCTGATCCGCACATCTGCAGCTAACCCAGATCTCTCTGACTATCCCTCGGGCCACCTACCACATAACCATACACAGCACATCCAGCTCAACAAGCAGAGATCATTAATTTAAAGTAATTGTCATCTCATATTTCAATGACCCTCTACTTCTTCTCCCAAGGGCCAGATTCATCTATTACACACACGGGCAGACCGTATACATACAAACAGCTTAATATATTTTTTTCTTATAATAGATCATAGTGTCTTTTTTTACTATATTAGCTTTTTTCCATCACTTCCCTGGAGCTGTATCAGGGTGGGAAATAGCATCAACCGATAATACAAGAAACCCAAACATTTAAAGCAGTCTATTCTTTAAATTTCAGCATTACTTTAATAAACATAATTTAAATTTATGAAAGCTATTTGAATTTAACAAATGGACTCACTCTCTCTCAGGATGATATCATCCTGCAAGGTTTCAGAGGTAATAAGTTTTGTTGTCAACTGTTGTTTTGTTTCACAAAGAGATCTGGAAGAGCTGGAATGCCCATTTCATCTCTGAAACTAAGTTAGCCATAAAACTACACCTGGAAGGAAAACACTTTTCCGAAGTTTTTAAATACTTTAAACTCTGTTTCAAGAGGCCTCTGGTGCCAATTCAACAGTGCGCTGCCAAACTCTTAAGGTCACGCACGTATGCTCGAAAAAACATCTGTAAACAGAGTGACATTGATGTGGAATGTCAAGGTTTTTTACTTCTTTTTAAAATAAAAACACTAAGAGCAGCTTTTGCATGATTATTAAACAAATCCCAATTCTGGTGTAATACCAAAACGCAATGTTACAAGTCACTACAGGACAAGACACGACAGGCCTGTGTAAAACGGCAGAAAAATTGTTTCAATGTCATATGCACTATACAGTGGAAAAGGTTTGGCTAAAACTCCAGAAAAATTAACACACAAAGGAGAGAAGAGAAGGGAAGAGAGATGGGAAGAAGGAAACAGAAGTCCAAAGAATGCAATCCCAGGAGAGCAGGCAGTGCATGGAAGTAAACAAAAAAAAAATCAGAAGATGAGAAAAGCAACAAGCTGATAGTGGGAATTTATTTTCTTCTATATTCTTTGGACATAACCTAATGAACAAAAGATTTGGTTCACAGTTTCTCTTCCCTTCTCTCCCTGAACAGCTAGAAAATTGCTCTGGATGTTTCCACATCTAGGCCACAGAGGTACTTTTAAGATCTACCAGAGACCTCAGACAGATTTTATCTGCAGGAAGAACATGCATTTACCATCTGCACTGACAAGCACATGAAGAAACTGAGATGGGCTTGGCTCCACCAGGAGTACACAATCCTTGTTACGACACATATCAATTTACTTTCCAGGAACTGGCAACAACATGGGGGATAGCTGCACCCCTACAAAGTTAGTCCAAGACATTTCTAAGAGGCAATTTTCAAGTTACCTCTGCTGCTTAAAACATGTTCATGTTATTTGAAAGTCAGCTACAAAGTAATAACTCCAGACATGAAAATCTGTATTTTTTTGTCTTCATAAGTGCTTATAACTTTCAAGCATTGTTTTCCTCCTTTTGTTGCCAATGAAGAGGCTATTATTTTCCAAGAGTTGTTTATGACAGTCCAGTAACTGCCCACAACGAAAGGCCATGCTTGGAGAAGCACATGGCACTTGCTTACTGAGGAGTCGTCCACGATAACTGGCTGCACCCGAAGTCTAAGAGCCAACCAGTCAAGCAGATAAAGTCACTTCTGCCACTTCACAGCATCCACAAGAAATGGGATTATGACTGACAGGCTTAATTTAACTGAAACTGTAACGTAAAGAGGCCACCTGAGGGAGAAAGATCTGGATCTGGCCAATAAGCAGCAAAAAGACAAGTTACCATGCTCAGATCTGTGGTCAGTGTGGGGTCACACCTGCAAATAACCACATTACTCACAACAAAAAGCACTAGCTGTGCTATTCACTGCCTTCCAAATGGTAACCTTTTGGTACATATGCACACCAACATACACAGAAGCAATTAACTCTCCAACTACTACCAGGAATTAAGTCCCACAAAAACATGGGAAGTTTCTGGTGTCTAGTTTTCAGTAGGGAATAAGGCATTAGTATGATTTCCAAAATTCATCAGCTTGAGACACACACAAGCTGAAGACAGAGCTGTGACCTGCCAGTCGCCAGGCACCGATCAAGTTTAATCTTGACAGAAATCACATTAACCATATGCCACCTCCTCCTAAACAAAGCACCTTCCAGACTGCTCTGATCGGCTGTTCCCCTGCTGTCCTGGGATAAGGAGGATATTTGCAGTTTGATTAGGAGCATGTTCTTCTCCTTCCCCCACAAACTACATTTTCTTCTCAATTCCTAGCACATAGGAACTGTTCTAATTCTTGCAAGCTTATAGATGACAGTAAGCTCCCGTTGGGAATGCAACCTGGCTGCAAGCTATTATCAAGTCATCCTCAGGGCTTTGGTTTGATTATTTTAATAAGCACAGCCTTCCATCACTATAAACCTATTTTAGACTATAGCAATGCCTTTGTCGACATCCTCTATACCAGCAGTGTACCCCAAGAAAAAAAAAAGCGTATGGATGTATCCTCCTGACCTAAGGCCACAAACCAGGAGCAGCTTTGCAACTGGAAACCACAGCCAGGCAGGTGAAGCTCATTTTTTAGAGGAAATCGGATAACTCAGCTCTCCCTTCTGCCCTCCATCCATCCCAACCCTTTCGTCCCGCCCGGCTGCCCAACAGCATTTAAACCACACAACGCTACTTCAGGCCCGGTTTAGGTCAATCATTACACAGCGCAAATATCACGGGTATCTCTACCGTACAGTATCGGGCTTTGAGCATGAGTTAAAAACCCAGAAATTTACAGGTTTTCATGAAATTTACACCCGGTGGCTTCACATAAACTACGGGGCCCGAACAAAGGCAAATCCCCACAGCGAAGCGGCAGGGGGGAAAAGCAGAAATAAGACAGCGGTGCCTAAGGCGGGCTGTCCCCGTCACAAATAAAACCGGGCGGGCAGCCGGGGCCGGCTCCGAGGGGCGAGGC